TCGACCCGGGCAGCTCGCAACTCGGGCTTTCGAAAAATGCCTGCGCGTTTGTGCGAATTCGTAAGAGAACCAGTGCTCTCCGTCATCTTCAGAAAGTGCTACCAAGCGGGCTTCGCGCGCGCATTTCAAAAAAACATTTCGAAGCCCCAAGCGCCCGTGCATCGCCGCTGGGGGCCCTTCTGGCCCGCCCGCAGCCTGGGCGAGCGCGTGCGGGCTCGCGCTCGTCTCGGCGGCCCGGCCAGGGCCCGACGCATCGGCGACGAGCATGCCGCCGCCTCCGGAAGCGGAGGGCGTTGTCGCCCGAGAACCGGGCGGTGACAAGGGGCTCCACCCAACGCCTCAGAGCCGGCCGCCGCATCACGACCGACGACACACGAAGACAGAAGCAGAAGAAGCAGAAGTAGCAGAACGAACGGGGAAGGGACACGCAAAAGAGAAGACGAAGGACGAAGCAAGAGCACAAGCAGACATCCCCTCTCCTCCTCATCCTCCCCCACTCCTCTTCTCCTCGGTGTTCGGAACCCAGAGATCCGACGCTCCAACCAAATGGTAGCAGCGATTAAGTGGCGTGTTTTTTTTTCGGCCGTTTTCGGCTCCAGGGGGCTCTGCCTTCTCTCGGGGACGTCAGAGAAAGATTTGCGTGCGTCGACGGACGAGATACCGAGCCCTGGGGAAGTGGTCCAGAACCTATGATTCTTCTTTCCCTCTTGTAGGGCCCACGCAGCGAAAAAGTTGGAGCGGCCGGATGTCTGGGAAGAAGAATGAGCGGCATATAGTGGGGGTTGTCGTTGTCCTTCAGTGGTCGAAGAAGAAGAAGAGGAATAATAACAATAAGAAGAAATATCTAGGTCTCCCAGATGGGGTCCGAGTAGATGGGTTCGGAGGGATGCGCCGCATCGCCGATGCATCGCCGATGCATCGTCGATGCGGCTGGATGTGGAGCCCGATTTTCTCTACGCCGACGGCGCCGATGCATCGCCGACGTCGCCGATGCATCGGTGATGCATCGCCGATGTATCGGCGATGCGGCGCGATCCTCCGACTCCATCTACTCGGACCCCATCTAGGAGGCCTCGAAAAGAGCGGCATACACTGGGGGCCCATGGTTTGCGGTGGAAGGCGTGACGTTCCCACGCCACAGCTCGACGGACGTCCTGGAGTCTCAAGGAAGGGTTTCTTGTGGAAGGTTTCTCATGGTCTGGCCTCCACTGCAAACATAAACTTTTGGCGTTCCGCGCAGATTTCTTGGATCCGCACTGTGGCCACCCCTGGGCGGCGCCTCCGGTGCCGCCCCTGGTGCTTGCCGCGCGCCAGGGAGGGAGGTCCTGCGCGGATCTAAGAAATATGCGCGGAGCGCCAAAAGTTGATGGTTATGCCGTTTTTCCTTCTTCTGAGTGGAGGAGAGGGGGAAACTGGAAACGGTGGGGGCGTTCGTTAAGGAGCGTATCCAGGAGGCTTCCGGCCCTGGAGGATTCCTTGCCTGATGAGGGCGACGGGGAGATCTACGACGAAGCCTCCTTTGAGCAACGCAAACAAAGGGATCGTCTTCACCAGTATTGGCGTGCAAGTTGACCGCGTAAGGCCGCGCGTAGGCGCCCTCGTTTCCAGTGAGGCGTGCCGCGGCGGCGGCCCGCGCAAGCCACCGCGTAAGGTCGCCAGGTCATCTCGCGTGAGACTCTTTCCCTTCTGCCGCTCAATTGGTGTTCCACCGGCCTCAGGCCCTGGATGCCTTGTGCAAAGGGTCCCTCCGCCGATGCCCTCACCCTACGGCCTGGTCTGGCGCCCCCGCGAGGGTGGCGACAAGCCCGCGGACGCGGCGGCCGCCGCGGCAGGCGCGGGCGGGACGAGGTACGTGCCTCCCAGCCTGCGCGGCAAGGATACGCGGGGGGGACGCCAGCGATCTACACGGTCGGGGAAAGGTAAGACTCGAGCTCGCCAGAGCTCGGGCTCGCCGGTGCTCTGCGTCGGGCCCGTCCTGGGTCCTGGCGGTCCAGTCTTCGTGGGATTGCTGCAGCGGGAGCTCGCGTCGAGCTTCAGATTGGGTCTCGTCCTTTTCGAGACGGCCCCGTCAGGCCAACCCTCAGGAGGGGGAAAAAAACGCAGGAAAATATTGGAAAATATGGGAAGTGGGGGGGAAGACAAATACCGAGAAAATATATGAAAATATGGGGAATCCTGTTATTTGTGTGTATTTATTTGTGTGTCCCAGGGCCCCTTCCAACCTGGGTCCCCCGGGCCCCAGTCCTGCGTTTCCCCGATCGGGGCGCGTGCCGGCCCAGTTCGGCGGCGCGCCGAGGGAGGAAACTGAGAGGGGGCAGGCCTTCTTGGAGTTGAGTCGGGCCTGTCCCCCTACAGGAGGAGGAGGAGGAGGAGGAGGAGGAGGAGGAGGAGGAGGAGGAGGACGAGGAGGAGGCGGAGGAGGAGGAGGAGGGGGAGGAGGGGGGGAGAGAGGGAGGGGAGGAGGAGGAGGAGGAGGAGGAGGAACATTGAGGCAAGACGTGCCCAGACAGGGTCGCGTCGTAAGGTTTTTAGCCGATTTCGGCCTCGGGGGGCCCTCGCCGGGCCTCGGGACCGTCAAAAAACGACTCGGGATGAAAAACTGGCCCCGGGAAAAGGATCTGGACTTCCGAGGACGCCGTCCTGACAAAAATCAGGACGTCGCATGTCGGGGGTCGGGCATGTCCTCCCTCTACAGGAGGAAGATTTAATAATAGTGCAAGAATAGTCTGGGGACGCTGATGAGACTGGGTCTGCGCGTTCTTTCTGACTGCTTTTGAATCTTCCTTCCAGAATCCGCCCGTAGGAGGACATGCCCGACCCGAGACCAGGACTGGCGCGTCCCCAGACCCGCAAGCCCCACGCACAGGTCCCAGGCCCAGGGACTGCGCGGCCAGGATCTGCTCGGGTGGATACCTGGCGTCCTCTCCAAAGGAGGGGGGCAAGGCGGGAGGCAAGGGCGCCGACTTCAGCCAGCAGCAGGAGGCTTCCCTGCGTATCACTAACCTGTCCGAGGACTGCAAGGAGTCGAGGGAAGAAATTTGTTCCGACCATGGCCAAGATGTCGCGGGATCTTGTCGACGCCGATCTTGGTCGTCGTGCATGCCGGCCGTCGCCGATCCGTGAGAACGAGCCACGAATCGATGGTGACCCAGACGGACGGTGGCCAAGATCGGCACCGACGTTTCCGCGTTCAGTCTTGCACGCCTGTCGTTGGAACTAGGGTTTTTTGGATTCCCAGATCCCAATGTACTTCAAGCGCCTTCCTACTTCAATAATCGACATGCTTTTTGTGCGTTCTGTTATTCTCTTGGAGGGCCTGAACCCAATCGACTTTGACCGTTGTCTTTCCCTCCAAGGAGGGCGACCTCCAGGATCTCTTCGGACAGTTCGGGCGCCTGGCGCGCGTTTTCATCGCAAAGGACCAGGCCACGTTCCAGTCGCGCGGCTTCGCCTTCGTGACGTACCACAGCAGGTCTGACGCGGAGAAGGCCATCGAGAAGCTCAACGGGCACGGCTACGACAACCTGATCCTGCAGGTCCGAACAGGGGATACCGACGACAGAGTTGACTTACTCCCAAGTGAATTCTCCCGCCGGATATACAAGAAGTGCGCAGACTGCTCGCAGATCTATGGGACATTCTATGTGTTTTGTTCGTAGATTTCGGCGGGGGGGACAATTTTGGGGTGAATCAATTCTGTAGTCGATCCCCCACGTGATCGTTTTTTATTCATTGTTTTGCCGATCGGCGCGGGCCCCCCCCTCCCCCCCTCCCCCCCTACGGAGTAGATCTTGGCTGTTTTTTGGCGCCTGTCTCGAGCGGGTGGAGTCTCCCCCAGAGGCCGCACTCTTGCAAACAATCGTACTAAGCAGAGGTCTGGAGCCAGACCCCTCCCCCTTCCCCCCCTTGCCGCCCAATGCCGAAATGCCGAATACAAAACGCTCGGCTCGGCAGGTGCAGTTCGCGAAGCCCAGGGCGCAGTAGCGCCCGAACCGCAGCGGCTGCGCCGCCCCCGGGCTGGCGTTCGCCTGCCACCTCGGGGGGCTCGGCGGCTCGCACAGGGGAGGGGGGAGGCAGAGGGGCCTCTTCCTTCCTCCCACCTGCTGCTCCTCCTGCTTGTCCTCCTCCTCCTCCTTCTCCTCTTCCTCCTTCTCCTTCTCCTCCTCCTTCTCCTACTCCGCCCTGTCTCTTCCTCCTCCTCCTCCTCCTCCTCCTCCTCCTCCCCCTCCTCCCCCTCCTCCTCCTCCTCCTCCTCCTCCTCCTCCTCCTCCTCCTCCTCCTCCACTCCTTCCCCTTATAGATAAATCCTCCCTGTCGCACCCCGAGGCCAGTTTTTAGGGCGGGCCTGGCGTTTCGCTGGATATTTCCCCACCATTTCTGATTCTGAAGCTTGAGCAGTAACACCAGTTTCACAGATGGAGGACCGGTCGTTTTCAAAATGTGGCTCTCGCCTTAGCGCCGCGTACATTCGTTTCAACAAATGCAAGAGCTTCGCGGATTGAGGGCGGGTGGTTTTCAAAATGTGGCTCTCGCCTTAGCGCCGCGCACATTCGTTTTGAACATTTGCATGAGTTACACGGATTGAGGGCGGATGGTTTTCAAAATGTGGTTCTCGCCTTAGCGGCGCGCGCATTCGTTCTAACAATTGCAAGAGTTACACGTGTTGAGGGAGGTTCCTCTTCAAATTGTGGCTCTCGCTTTAGCGCCGCACACATTCGTTGTAAACATTTCTTGCAATAGTTTCACGGATTGAGGGCGGTTCGTTTTCAATCGGTGGCTCTAGCCTCAGCGCTGCGCACATTCGTTTTAAATTTTTGCGAGAGCTTCACGTATTGAGGGTGGTTCCTTTTCAAACTGTGGCTCTCGCTTTAGCGCCACGCGCACATTCTTTTTCAACTTGTGCAAGAGTTTCACGGATTTGCATGGCCAGCGTGCCAGAAATTGTGTTTTGGAAGGATTCAGAATTATGCGGGCGCAGCAGTTATGTTGATTCACCGTGT